AAGATAAAAAATAACAAAATTAAAAATATTTTATTAAGCATGACAACCGATAAATTTTTTACAAAATAACGAACGCAAACCAATGTGTCCCAATAAATCGAAATCCACTGTAATATTGTAAATAATAAAATTAAATATAAATTAATAAATATTATAACTTGATAACATTGTCATAGGTAAACTTAAATTTATATTAGAATCGGTCTTGACAATAGGAAAGTGAGCTATATTTTTTTTTCTGTATCAAACTTCATTATCGTTATTATGTACCTACCTAACTTAAATATTTTTGCTYAATAACTTTTTTTACTGACTATGCAAATTATACGTACCTATTTTAAATACTTATCAAAATAAGTATCTATATTTGAATACTTTTAAATATTATTTATACAATCTTTACAAGCCTGGCTGRATACAATGTACAATTTTTAATAAATTTCAAYATAGTAACCAAWAGTGGTTTAAATCCATTTATTTATTATTTATCAGTTTATTTTATTACAAATTTCACTGAACATGTGGRTGTCTATAGTCTACTGTTCTCTTGCATTACTAAACATAATACTTTCTWATCACGTTAATAAAATATATTTAAGAATTTACAAAYTATTTTATTATCATCTTACGTTTAGACTAAAATTTACAGGCCACGCTGGGATGTATAAAAAAATACATTCTTGAATTAGATATACTTTTTATAGAACCTGCAGGGTACCGTTCCCTATTAACATTTCAATAATTTGTTTTGTGTATTTTATATATAGGGAATCGTTATAACAAAATTAATTGTATATATTTAAAGACAGCTGTGCGTTTGGATCGACAAAATACTTTTTGCTTTGCGGGCTAGGCGGCTTTTTGTCGTGCGGAATAACTCACGCAATGGTCACACCACTGGACTTAGTTAAATGTCGCTTGCAAGTCGACCAAGCAAAATACAAGAACGTTGTTCATGGTTTCAAAGTATGTAAAAAGTAAAAATAAGATATTCATATAAGTTACGAAGAAAAAATATAAAAACCACTTTTTTTACAATTCATGCATAGCTAACACTGAAAGAAGACGGTTTCAAGGGGTTGGCTAAAGGATGGGCGCCGACTTTCCTAGGATATGCCGCTCAAGTAATTCAAATTTAAAATAATAGCTCGTACCTACTTATACATGTATCTATAACCGGTGATACATATTAGGGCATGTGCAAGTTTGGTTTGTATGAAGTTTTCAAAGTCCGCTATTCGGAGATGATAGGTGAAGAGAACTCATACGTGTACAGAACCGCGTTGTACTTGGCTGCGTCTGCATCTGCTGAATTTTTCGCTGACATCGCACTCAGTCCTATGGAATCTGCAAAAGTAAGTTACATAATATTACTTAGATGAAATTATCAACWAATAAATTGATCAATTTGAATCAATTTAATCAACATAAATCGAAAAAATAAATTGAAAAGTTGAAAAATTCTAAGTTGTATAATCAAAAGATAAGAATAATAGAAGGATATCCAACTAATTTTTAAAATTACCTATCATATATGACTTCAATATTCCAGCGAATGTATAATGTAAATTTTGAAATCATTAATTAACCTATCTACGGTTAGCGAAATTCCRGACGCAATATTATAGTTCAGCGCGGTAAATGGGGCTGGGTGAATGTATGTTCCCACACGAGATAAAGCAGGTAAAAATCACACAAGAGTATGCATACGTAAGTTCCCACAAGAAAAAAATTATACCGAAAACAAACTTCCTTCCCACTTTATTTACACTTAAGACTGACAACTTAAACGTAGTTGGTGTGTTTAAAATTTGTTTGTTTTTGTGTTTTTTTATTGAAAATAAAAAAAGTTATATCAATTTTTTAATTGAATCTAGTACAAATTTATAATGAAAATTAATAATATAATGACGTGTAGGTCCACAAATTATTTTTATATAGGTATAAAATAATAAAAGTTGTAATAATAGCATTGTTTCTAAAATCAATGATAATAGTAGTATAAAAAAATTAAATGAAATTCGGCTTATTGCGAAAGCTCAAATACTTTACATAGTTAGTTCTGACACAAGTCTTACTATAAAYGCTTGCGAAAGTACAAATAATATCTGTAACATATACCTTCACATTATACAATTAATTTTTTTTATATATTTGGACAATATTAAAAAAATTTATTGGACTTTACAAAAGACTTTACTTATACAAAAACAATCAAATTCTAACTACATAATACATTTATGTTGTCAGTCCTAAGTCTAAATTTATTTAATTTTCGTGTGGGAACTTACATATGTACCCGCTTACCAGCTATGTTTCGTGTGGGAACTTACTAAACCCTGTGGGACTAAACCGAAATTACAAATCTTACGCCAGTTCAGCGCTCTGCGTTGAATCATAGTAGGGTTTGTAGTAGATATAATTTGTAGTACAATAATTAAAGAATCCATAAAATTTTTTTAAATATTATTATAAAGTATTACTGACATACATGATCATCAAACTTATTGATAATATAATAGAAAATATAACATATATAATTGGTAGGTAAGCGTAAATTAATTACGATATTTACAACAAATTATAGTAATTTATATCGATAAATAAATAAATAATGATACAAGAAAAAGAATAATTAATTAAACTACGTGTAGTATTTTCCTTTTTTTTATCCATCAAATAAATTATATGTTATTAATAACATATCATTTATAATTTATGTTATTTTATGTTTTTAATAATACATCATAATATATTGTATTAATTTTCTCGGAAACTGAATAATCCAATTAATAACTTATAAATATATCAATTTCAGTATTAAATGCAGTTCGTAGGATTGTATCGAAATTTTCATTATTTTGAAAATGTAATTTTTTTTTTTAAATTTTAATTGCACATACACAATCTATACATTTTGCACAATAAGCGTATAAGATAACAGTTAAAAAAAAACATGGATTGCTTGAAGAAGAAGCCACCCATTAGTGGCACTTCCTTACTTGACGTTATATTTAGGGTAATTGCGGGATATTTTATTTAAATGGTCACGACACCATTTCCTTTTGAGTCAACGTGGTGGATTTCCAGGGAGTGATAAGGTATGTAGCCTCTTTTATTAATGGGTTAGCGTGATTTTTAAGTCTGTCGAAAAAACGTTTGTAAAATAGTTTCATTTCGGTACAACAGGTAGAATACCTAGATCTTAGTGAAGAGTTAAGTTAGAGACGTAGAAGGGAGCGTTAGCGATTTTTCTAAGAATAATATTCTGAAATACTTGAATTTTGTTTAATTTAGATTTTTTGGCCGATCCCCAGAGTTGTAACCCGTATGTCCATATTGGCTTAAGGAGAGTTTTGTATACAAGTAGTTTTGTTTTTAGACTCGTAAATTAATTTTTTGATAATATTGTTTTTAGTGGTCTAGATAGAGCGTTAAGGTCTTAAGGATCAATCTTTTAGCTCTTATATGTTTGTTCCAAGTTAATTTAAAACCAAACAACCCACGTCAATTATAAAAAGATTATTAATTTCCACATTGTTTTATATTTTTTCGAATTTATATATATATATATATGTAAGTAAAAAGTAACTGTAAATACGAAATTGGAGTTTACAGTAAAAATGTTTCAATTAWATATCAGAAGTTCACAATTCTGTTAAACACACTCAATAACTGGCCAAAATAACTTTAAACGGCTACCTCACGTAATACACGATTACATAGGTTAGGTAAGTACTAGTTTTGTTAATTTGTTTATACCTATAGAGGCTAAAATGATGATACTCGGAATATTGGTACGGTCCATAGAATTCATAACATAAGAAATCAAAAACGTGGAATACTGGTACTCTTCAAAATTTAATTTTCAGGGGTCTTAAGATTTTTTAAAAATTTTTGCAATTTTACAATGTTTATTTATAGTTTTGATAAATTACCATCGTCAACAAGTTAAATTAAAATAATACGTTGACAACAAAAAAATAATGTTAGAAATAAAAATGAACAAAGGACACAAATAAGTTCATACAAAATAGTTGATAAATAAAATAATAGTTAAAAGATAGAAGAAACGACTATTTCGTACACTTAGCTATATTATTTAAATATTGTCCTAAATTAATCTCTTTATTCAAATAGCTTTCACATTCATTATGTAGTTTGTCTTGCAAACTATTTTGTTTTTTGAACTTTTAGGCATTAAGGTATTATTTGTATTGTGTGTTCTTTCAATCCGCGTTGTCGCATCATCTTGTTAGATACATTTAACTACTAACCAAAAAGATGGATTATTTACAACCTTATTCAAATAGCTATTCCAACCTACACAAACATTATTTGTTCTGTTGCCATTATTTAA